CTGATCAAATGTGGGGAATGACAAAATAACAACCCCACTGGGTTACTTGGGACAACATATATCAGGCCCCGGGCACAGTGCCCAGTCCCTTCCCGACCTTTCTGTAAGTCAATCTGCTCCAAGTCACCCCATTAAGTCCAGGCCCCAAAGAGATTAGACGGTAAGACCCCAAATCTATCGAACAGCTTCAAGACTGGTCCCACTACCAGCAATGTGTTCTCAAGCCAGTCACCTGGCACTTTTGTGAGCTTTCGTTTCCTCACCTTAAAAATGGACATAATGTTAATAACTAGATCTGAATGTTGGAATGATTGAAGGGGATAATGTTTCCACAAAGGGCCTTGAGGACCCGAAGCCATGTGCAAGTGTGGGCTGTCAAGTTTGGTTGACTTTTAACCTGACCATTGCAAGAAAGGCTCTTTTGAGACATCACAGTCTACAAGGGCACCCTGGCCCTGGCCTCGCCACCCTAAAGTGGAGCAGGCAGCTAAGGCACTGTCAGGTAGCGGACTGCTTCTGGGCAAGGTGGCTTGGACCGGGATTGAGAACCTCCTCTGTGAAGTGTGGTAACAGTGGTACTGTTACAGGGCAGAGGCCTGCCACAAAACTGAGGCAGTCACGGAGATCCCTGCTTCAAACCCCAATTCTTGCAATCATGCCAGAAAGATTTCAGATACGTCACTCAGAATAACAGGCATGAGGTTACCGAAGGGATAGGAAAAGGGAAAAAGCAACACTCTCACAGGAGAGAGTGGGTCCTCTCAGAGAGAAGGACAGTGAGCTCCTAATGCACTCCAGTTTTATTGGGAGTCCCCGGAAGTTTCCAGAAAGACCCACCCAGATCCATCTCTTAACTTTTGACCAACAGCAGAATGAAATCAGACTTTCAAGTCACCACTGTCATGACAACTCCAGGTCACTTTGGCTCATGCTGACTGGTTCTAATTGGAACCTGGGGAATTATACTTATCTCCCTGATTTCCATGATCTGGTCTGTGTAAGGGTCACAGAAGTCCACCCTCCCCACCCCACCCCCACCTCAGGGTAACTTTGTTCTTATCAGCTTTTTGGCCTGCCTTTCTCCTGCAGATAATAGGTTGTTTGCTGAGCAATGTAATATATGCTCTATTTAATCCAGGCTGCAGGTAAATTGTTTTTTTTTTTTTTTTTTTTTAAAAAAGCATGTGGGGGTCAGCACAGTGGACTCAGTTTATAGAACTGTTCCCTCAACTTTGAGTTCCCCCTGCTCATGTTTCGCTGTTCCCTGTCAGAATCTCCTCAGGGGGTGACTGTAAGGGTCCAAGACAGTGGCACATTTTGCTGTTAATATTGTTACTGTCATTCTAGTTATAGTGTTGCTATCACATTATTCCAATCTCTAGTTTCTGAAGTGCTTCCACTTTTCTCACCGGGTGTGCAACATGGGTGGGATTGCTGCATTTCATAGAAGAGGCTCAGCCTTTAGATTTCAGGCCCAAGTGCAAGATCTTTCCCAGGAGGGATATGAGAGCCCACATTTGGGAAGGCACTGAACTTAAGACAGTGCAGCCCCCTGGGTCTGAGGCCTTGGGAAAGTTTGGAATTCAAGCCTTTCCTGGAGCCAGGTTGCCTCCCTGGGCCTCCGGCAGTATCTTGTCCCTGGCAAAGCAGCACAGAGGTGTTTGTCACCAGCCACAGCAGGTGAGCAGCCTACAAGGTGTAGCAGGCCTGCCCTAGCCTGGGGGTGGCTCTTCCCCATTGTTCTGGGCAGGCACGGCCACCAGTATGGGAGGGAGTGGCCAAGGCATGATGGAAACCAGGCAAACACTTGCAAACCAGCTGTTTCCACTGACGTCACTGCAGTCCCACCTCCCAGCAGAACCCAAACCAGAAGCTCTCAGACACCTCTTTCCAGCTGGCCAGAGAGGCCTGAGTCTGCCTGTTGGTAGGAACCATGAATGGGCTTTGGCGTTCAGTGGGATATTGCTTGGCATGGCCCTCAGGGCACAGGGTCTGCTCTGTACCTGCCTGGCACAAGATCAAGAAACCCCAGGGAGTCCTAGGTGGGACACAATTTTTGGTCCTGTGGCATGGCTAGTATTTTAGCACAGAAGAATGTGAAACTGGAAAGTGGTCACGCTAATATCTGTTTTACTACTAACCATCAGGTTAAGCTCATTTCCGCACAGTTATAAGAGTTTGGAGGTTTGTGTCCATCAGACCAGGACTGAGTCCTGGTTGTGCCAACTTCCAGTTTTGTGATCTTGGGCAAGTCACTTAGCCTCTGGGTCTCCTCTCAGTTTCCTCCTCTGTAAAATGGAAATAGCAAGTTTACCATTGAAGGACACTGGGTGAATCAAAAAAGTAGCCCGGGGTCATACCAGGCGCACTCAGTAAACGGATGTTCTGGGTGCCCAGATACCTGCCCTGGGCAGCTCTGGCTCCCTCAGGCAGTCCCTTGTCAGGGTGCCTCAGCTCCTCAGATCCCTCTCCACAGCACTCCTACCACACAGCACCTGTTCGGGGTGTGTATTTTTTTTTCATTCTGTCAATAAATATTTATATTCCAGGCCACGTGCTAACAGAGCAGTGGACAAAACTAACCTGTCCTGCCTTCATGGGGCTCACGTTCAAGGGGCCGGGGTGGGGGCAGCATACGTCTGTTAAAATAACGACTGTGGAGGGGGAGGGTGGAGAGGTCACCATCTTAAATAAGTAGGCAGGGTCTCCTGAGAAAAGTGGTATTTCAGCGAAGACCTGCAGGCTGTGAGGTGGAGTAGTGAAGAAGGGGGCAGAGGTGCTCTGGGGAGGAAATGGAAGATACAGGCCCCAGTCAGAGGTGTGCTTGGTGAGCTGCAGGACGGGCCAGGGGCTGGAGCAGGTGATAAGGAGCACCAGGGTCAGAGACGAGACCTGGGGCCAGGTCAGGGAGGACCTCAGAGTCATCAGCTTCACTTCAACATGGGGAGCCATCCCAGGGGTCGGAGTAGAAGAGCGAGCTGATCTGACTTTTGTGAAAGGATCCTCTGGCTGCTGGGTTGAAGATAGACTTTAGGGTGGGCAGGGGCAGGGGAACAGTCACTGGCTGTTGCGAACACTTGGATTTAGAAGAGCTCTTGGACCACTGCAATAGCCCAGGTGGAGGAGGCTGCACCAGGACGGAGGCAGGAGTGGGGAGAAGCAGTAGCATTCTGGAGTGTTCCTAGGATATTGCCATCAGCATTTGGTGGTAAAGTAGATGCGGGGAATAAAAGATAGAAGGGACTCGAGGACAACATCGGGTTTTTGGCCTGAGCACTAGAACGCAGTTACCATTTACTCACAGAGGAACAACAGGAAGAAGTAGCTGGGGGGAGAGATGGGAAGAAAGAGGATATGCGGAGTCTTGAGATGCTGAGTCAGAGAAAACTATCAAAGGGCAGCGGGGCAAGGTCTGGAGCCCAGGGCAGAGCCCAGCTGGAGACACACACGCAGGTGTGAGCCACGCTGGAAGGTAACCGCACCTAGAGGAGATTTCCAAGGCAAAGAGAGTCTGGGACAGAGCTCCTGGCCCCTGACATGAAGAGGACAGGCCTGAAGAAGCCAAACAGGGGCAGTTGGGGAGCCAGAAAGATAGGCGGCTCCAAAAGGAAACCCAAGAGGGGAGCTGCCAATTCTGCCCACAGGGCTGGCAGCAAATACCAATGAGAACCAGAACGGGCCATTCCACCCAGCAGGTTGAGGCACTGGTGACCTGCTGGAGTACCCGGGGTGCTGGAGAGGGGCAGGGCTGACGAGTGGGTTCAAGAGGGAACAGGGAGAGCTTTCAAGAACCCTGAGTACAGGAAGCTCTTTGGAGAGCTTTGCCAAAAAAAAAGGGGAGCAGAAGAATAAAACAGTATCTGTAGAGGGGCTGGGAGGTCAGGAGAGGATCTTCTGCAAGTTGAAGCAGCAGCAGGAGTGGAGGAAGAATGAGATGACGGGGGAGGCAGCTGGAGCAATGCCCCCAGGGGCCAGAGGAGGGACCAGTGCACATCCTCCCCTCCCCTTGGCCTGCCAACTCCTGCTCATCCCTAGAGGGTCACTGTGAAGGTCACTTTCTCAGGGAAGTGTTCCTGACCCCTCCAATGAGGTCAGTACCCCTTATGGCCTTTCACAGCACATGATGCTTCTGCTCCCAGTGCCTGAAAACTCTGATGTTGTGGAAGCCCGGTGAGGGCAGGGGCTGGCTGGCACGCTGCTCGGTATACTGTAATGTTCAGTGGATGTCAGGATGAATGGTCCAAGAACAGAACTGAAGCAAATCTGGAGACATGTGTCTGTTTTGTGCTCCCGTTTGATATAATCACGTTGCAATGATCGGGACTGTGCAGTCACTGGCTGTTACAAATACTTGGATTTAGAAGAGCTCAGTTGTTTGTTCCTGTTTGGGACTCTGTAGCCTAGCTAACGCACAGACCAGAGCCATGTGACCGGACACATCCTTCTACTGACACTGTCCACTACAAGCCCAACACATTCCATACTATGTCTAGTAATTCATTCATTTAACAGGCTGAAAGCCTGCTCAGTACCATGCTAGGGAAACCAAGTTGAGTCAGACGTAGTACCTGCCCTCATGGACCTCAGGTCCAGAAGAGGAGACTATTTAGCAGTGTGGCAGATCACACCTGTAACAGGAGCTTCAGGGGAAGGCTCAGGATGAGGCGATATGACAGTCAGAGGATTGCAAGACAGACTGTGCCTCCTCTTTCCCACTTCAAGCTTCCCTGAAGGTGGTTCTCAGGCTCCAGGAGTGGCAGGACCGGGACCCTGACATCCATATGTCCAGGTCCTCCTTTTCCTCTCTACCTTGCTGGGCCTGCTGTCTCTTGTCACTTCCAGAATGGCTCCCCTGCCCACTGACTCCAGAAGAATAGAATGTGGTCTCCCAAAACTGTATTTGGGAAATGTTCCACCTGGCAAGAAGGCTAGGACCCTGATGGCACTGGTTACTGGCAGGAATCGAACTGTCACTGATTCTCCCCTCTGTTTACTTTCAGGGTTTCATAGAATCCATTCACAAAGAATAACCACCACATTGCAAGGACCATGAGGCCACTGTGTATCACGTGCTGGTGGCTGGGACTGCTGGCCACCCTGGGAGTTGCTGCAGGCCCCGAGGATGGTTTTGAAGGCACAGAGGAGGGCTCACAGAGAGAGTTCATTTACCTCAACAGGTACAAGCGGGCGGGCGAATCCCAGGACAAGTGCACCTACACCTTCATCGTTCCCCAGCAGCGGGTCACAGGCGCCATCTGCGTCAACTCCAAGGAGCCAGAGGTGCTCCTGGAGAACCGCGTGCACAAGCAGGAGCTGGAGCTGCTCAACAGCGAGTTGCTCAAGCAGAAGCGGCAGATTGAGACCCTGCAGCAGCTGGTGGAGGTAGACGGCGGCATCGTGAGCGAGGTGAAGCTGCTGCGCAAGGAAAGCCGCAACATGAACTCACGTGTCACGCAGCTCTACATGCAGCTCCTGCATGAGATCATCCGCAAGCGGGACAACGCACTGGAGCTCTCCCAGCTGGAGAACAGGATCCTGAACCAGACGGCTGACATGCTGCAGCTGGCCAGCAAGTATAAGGACCTGGAGCACAAGTACCAGCACCTGGCCACACTGGCCCACAACCAGTCAGAGGTCATTGCTCAGCTTGAGGAGCACTGCCAGAGGGTGCCCGTAGCCAGGCCTGTACCCCAGCCGCCTCCTGCCACCCCACCCCGGGTCTACCAGCCACCCACCTACAACCGTATCATCAACCAGATCTCTACCAACGAGATCCAGAGTGACCAGAACCTGAAGGTGCTGCCACCACCTCTGCCCACCATGCCTGCCCTCACCAGCCTTCCATCCTCCACTGACAAGCCATCAGGTAAGTCTTTCTGGGATCCCATCCCACGTGGGCCTCAGAGCCCGGTACCAGGCTTCCCTTGGCTGTGACCACAAGTGGGGGAAGAGGCACAGCCAGTTGAGATCAGACCAAAGACTTGCACAATTCTCTGGCAATCCCTTGAGCAGGCCACTGGAGCCAGTGGGGTAAGGGGAACTACATTGCTTTGATGGATGTCTAAAGGTAGAACCGGGAAATGGGGCAGACACCCCCTGGCTTCTGAGAGAAGAGAAGGGAGGCTCATACTCCCCAGGCTCTGTAGGAGATGCTCTATGTTGGCAGCTGGGATGTCTTTCCTGCAGGCTTAGGGATAGGCAGGGCCCAGAGCTGGCACTTTCTAAATGTCATCCCAGAACAGCAGGCCAAGAGAAAGAGCACCATTACAGTAAAGGTAGGTTAACACACTGCAAGGGCTGGGGATTGGGAAGGTGCGCTTCTCAAATCCCCGAGTTTCCTACAGTCTGCTGGTGCCTGGGATTTTCAATGAGGCTTCCATATACTTTTAAATATACATTTCACCCCAAAATACGGTAATTCTCAGAACACTGTGATGGAGGAGAAATGGGGTCCCTGGTAGGTTTGGGAAATTTAACTAAGACATGGGCGCTGGATGCCTTCAAGCGCATTACCTGATATGTCTTGCAGGTCCTTGGGAGCACTCCTATTAAGTACCTTGCCCACAGGCTGAGGAGGGCAGGCTGCATTTGAGTTCAGACCTCTTCACTTTAACTCTTAAGCTGACTCTTCTGTGTGAAAGGACTCTGAGAATCCTCAGTCTGGGTGGAGTGGGCCAAAAACCCCTCCTGCCAGAGCTTGGCCTCTCATTTACCCAGGAGGCAGCAGCACTCCCAGTGGGCCGCCGTGAGAGGCAGAGTCATCTCCACAAGAGCTAACCACATATCTGCTCCATGGCAGTACTTTGGGTACTGCTTTGTTGTATAAGCAGGGAAGTATTTTTATTGAAAATACCCTATTTCATATTTTTAAAAGTAATCACCAGAACTGGGAAGAGCATTCTCTTCATATATCTGAGGAGCTGAACCTGCATGCCCGAGGATGGCCAGTGGGCAGGACAGAGCTTGCTGTTTGCAGGTCAGTAGGGATAGAGGGCAGCTAGGCACAGGGCAGAGCATCTGTCATAACATCTCGTAGGACAGACTGGACTGGGCATGGGGGTTAAGAACAGGTGCCTTGCAGAGAACTGACCTGGTTTAGAATCCTGCTTCCTCCACTGACTAGTTCTAGGACAAGTCACTTTGTCCCTCTCAACCTCAGCTGCCTCACCTAAAGCTTCTGATAGATTCTATTTTAATCTATCCTCAAATGACAGTTCTATAAAATCAAACACTGTAAAACCTGTGTTTATTTTTCTGTTTGTTCTCTTTCTCTGTGGTGCTGGGGATTGATCCCAAGGCCTTGCACATGCTAGGCAAGTGCTCTACCACTGATCTGCACCTCCAGCCAAAAACTGCTGAGTGTCTTCATCTTAAAACCAGGAGACTAAAACAAACAATCCCTCTTGAACTCTGGCATTCCAAGGCTGATGACTGATCTATCTGCACACATGCCTGTTTTACATCAGAAGCTCCAAAAGAGAGGGTAGGGTGTGTTAATAGGTCTTTACCTAGAAGGTGAAATGTGCCATTTGGGCACCAAATGAAGCTCAGCTGAATGTGGTCATAAAACTGACATGAGTGACTACCCAGAAAGTCTCCACTTTTCTAAACATCTCTAGTTTCTAGTTCAACAATTTTGGACATTCCTAGGCTTGAACTAAGCTGGTAGATTCAGAGTGAAAGAATAAAGATCTGAGTTTGCATCCAGGCTCCACCCCTTGTTAGCTGTCTGCTCATGAGAAAGTTATTTAACTCCTCTGAGCCTCAGATTTCTCTCTGTAAAATGTGACAAGTGCCATAACCACTGGGTCACGTGGTGGACACTCAGCACAGCCAGCAGGGAATGCTGTGCTCCTGCAGTGCTGCCACAATGCTGAGTCTGGCTTCCTGCTCTTCATGGCACTAGGCTCGGGGAACCAGTTAGAAATGTTGTCCCTGCTCACAGGAACTCAGTCTGTGGAGGTGGCAGGTGCATGATTGCATCTGGGATCTATCCAGTGCTCATCATTTCTATTCCCTAAAAGCAGCACTTCAGTTATAACAAAGGACTTCTCTGGGAGGGAACATCTGGTGAGGCAAAAATTTCCAGATCATTGTGAGAATTTATGGGGCCAGCATAACAGAGAACTTAAAAGCAGTGATGCAGTGAGTCAACTCCAGCTGGGGGAACTGACCCCGGAGTGCTAAGAGCCCCTCAAAGGGGGAGTACGAGGCACTGGGGACACAAAGGTAGCATGACTGAGTGTGCCCTGAGGAGAGGGGAAGACTGCACAGAGATGGGACCTCTGTGCTGCATTTTGAAGGATTTGTAAGAGTTCAAGAGGCAGACCTGGGAGCTGGGAAACCAAGTTACTGGTAGGTCCCTGAGAGAGATGAGTCTGTGCAAAGACCCAGGGACACGGCCCTGCTCCCAGCCTCCCAAAGGATCCCAACCTCCTGCTGCTTCATATTCCAGCATGATCTGAAGTACAGGTAAGGGAGGCTATGGGCTGCTATGGATCCAAGGCTCCTACCCTCACTGCACCCTTTCTGTCCCACTTGAAGAAGTACCTGGTGTGGGACGGCATGACAGTGTGATCTCATCCCATTATGGAGATGGCTGAGGGCACATTTATTTATTTATTTAAGAAAGCCTCCCCAAATGTTGGTGCACGATCCTTAGTAGCAAATTTTTTGTGGCCCATCTTACCACTGAGCTCCCACACAAGCAGACACCAAACTGTGAGGGGGAAGCAGAGGGTTTCCTTCTACCGCGCATTTGCCTAGCCAATCGGCAGAGGGCTCTTATCTGAGCTTGGGCAGGTTCTAGTCCCTGAAGACAAAACCCTCTCTGTGCTCTCTCCCGACAGAGCCTTTATTCCCAGAGACATGAGTCAGCCAGAAACACCTTTGCAATTAGACACCTTTGTACCCAGGCCTCTGCAGCCTCCAGAGCTTTCACCCAGCAACCCCAGAGCCACTGCTCTTTACCCCATTGTTTGGGGCACTGAGCCCACAGCACGCCCTTCTCTAGGGGACTGAGGCAGCCCTGGCTCCTTATCTGAAGCTGCATTCACTGGCCTGTTCCTGGCCACAGTGAGATAGTAGCAGGCTGGCACCAGGCCAGGGGGCCTGCTGAGAGCCAGGGTGAAAAGCCCGAGCAGCTTCTGGCTTCCCTGGCTCCTAACCTGGACTCTGTCCTGTCTCCCTCAGGGTTGGCCAGACCCACCTGGGGCATTTGATTGGGATGAAACTTGTGATGAGGCCTGGAGACCTCTCCCTATGCTCCTACTGCTGCTGTTAAAGGAGAGAGCTGCAGGGATCATTCCCTAACAAGCAAAAGAAAGGGGAGGGTGGACTCTGGACTGACCCCAGAGGCTGACAGGGAAGGACAGTTAGTGCTGCCACAGTACAGTGAGTCCCTGTTGGAAACGAATTTTTAAAAACTAGCAGGAGTGGGCACTTTTGCCATTTTTCTCTCCTGAGACAGAGGACACAGCAGCTCAGTTGGTTTCTCAGTGGATAAAGGAGGAGCTATAAAATTATAAAGTAGCAGAACCGTCAGGGTCCCTCGGATTCCCCAGCATCACCTTCCTATCACAGAACTTGTCCATGTAGAGCTGAGATCGGTCCCTGACTTGTAACTTTCAGGACACTGAGGTTCAGAGAGGTCAAGAAACTTAGTCAAGATGACACAGATAGTAAATAGCTCAGCAAAGCTCAAACCAGGTCTGTCCTAATGACTCTGGGACTCTGAGAAGCTGGAGGGGCACCAGTGTGAAAATTGCTCTACAACACTTGCCCTGGCCCAGCCACCGGGGACCTACCTGACCTTCTGTCACTGTTTCATGGTACTGGGTTCCAGAACAGCCCCTTGAAAAACAGCTCTCAAAAGAGCTAGTGGATGTGTTGTTGGAACACTCACGGTGCTGACAGCCCAGAAGCTGCACAGTGAGACCACTGGGACCACCCCTCCCTCAGCCCACAGAAACAGGGGAGTGCAGCCATGGAAAGAGCCACACAGCCCTGGCTCCTGGGAAATGAGCCAGTGGAGGCTGCAGACCAATCTCATTTAACTATCAAATCTGGACACACCTGAGGGGTTCATTCTGCTCCATATTTCAGTGGATATCTGTCTTTCAATGTAGAGCCAAGCTTGAAGTCCTGGCATCTTTAAATCTTAGTTCTCCAAGAATAGAATCAGTCACTGTAGTCTTTCCTCCAGATCACACTGCTTCACAGACAGCACAGGGCACATGTGGAGATCATCCCTCTCTCATCACAGGCATCTAGGGATGGGGGGACTTGGACAACTTGAACAAGAGTGTTTCGAGAGTTCAAGCAACTTAGCTAAGATGACACAGCTAGCAAGTGGCGCTACCAAGGCTCAAAGCTACGCAGATTTCTTCCCCTGTATTTTATCTCCACTCACCCTTTATGGTAGGAAATATGTCCATTACATCATGGTTCCTTAGCATGTTGGAATGTTTTGTAACAGAGAAGGAGGTATACGGCACAGTGGCTTCCATTCTTTCTAGAAGTCAAGCAAGCATCAGTCCAGAGGGAAGTGGTGCTGGCCCTGTAGGCAGATAGGTCAGCTTCGCAGCCTGAGCTCCCTGGCCTGACTACCACAGTGAGCTGGAGAGGTCTGGGGTGCAGTGCTGATGTCAAGTAGGGGTGACTGTGGCTATACTTGATTTGAATTTAGCCTTCAAGGTTGCAGAGGCCGAGGGGAAAGTCTCACAGGTCTCCTGTCTTGAGCCTGTGCTGTTCCCACTGTACTCCCCTCTCACCAGCCCCTAGCAAGCTGTGCACCTCTACCCCCAGTGAGACCTCCATAACCCCTCCCCGTCTAACCTCTTTTCTTCTTTGTTTTAAATCCCTATT